TGTGTGTGTGTGTGTGTGTGTGTGTGTGTGTGTGTGTGTGTGTGTGTGTGTCAGTGCAGGGCAGCTGGCTGGCTGGCTGTGTGCTCTGCTCGCCTCACTGCTGGAAATCATGGCGACCCGGGCCGGCCAGCTCCTTTCTCCTCGGCTTCTCGCGGCCGCAGCTCTCTTCCTGCTCGCCTCCGGACCTCGGTTTGCACTTTGTTGTCCGAGTCGGTGTTTGTGTTTCCGAACCACCGTGAGATGTATGCATCTGAACCTGGAAACAGTGCCGACGGTGTCTCCTCAGACAACCATTCTGTGAGTAGTTTTTTTTCTTTCTTTCTTTCTGTCTCTCCCTCTCTCTTTTCCTTCAAACTAACTAGAACCAACAACCACACGGGGGTCTTAATGCAAACAGAAAGGGGGGTTATAATCTATATTGTCTGCAATTATAAGTATATTTAGAGCAGTATTTATATGTTTTGGAAATGAAAGAATGAGCTAATCAGAAATTATGAAAAATGTTTTATGAAGTTGTTTTTTTTTTAACCCAAAGTTCTGCCACCTGACCTGCCCTGAGAGTTGAGGTTGTTGGGGTTAATGAACAGGGTGTTCAGGGTCAAACAGCTGCTCAAGTCAACAACAAGGAGGTCTGTAAAGGCTTGGAGAGCATCAACATTTTCCTCTGAGCACTAAATGAAACAAYTGTTCATAAGTTTTCAGAAAAGCTTTTTTTTAAAACAAGGATTGTGTTTTTACACCCAGAAATGCACCCAATTTATTGCACTTTTTCCATTTGTCTTGTTCTGAAAACTAAAAAAATAAAAAAAAGCTTTGTCACCCAGGTATAACTCGATGTTCCTCTTTTGTTCTGAGATGAAAGGAAAGGAAATTCTTCCATCTTGACACCCACTTGTGAATGTGCCCTGCTTGTCACAAGCCGACCAAACATTTCCACAGGCCGTCAGAGCACAAAGCTCCACATCTGTCCGGACCTCCCGAATATGTGGCAGTCTTTTGTATTTAATCAGCCACTGAAATCGTGAGGATGTCAGTCCCTAACACATGGAGCTATAAATAGATTCATTCAAGGGTACAAAGGGGCGAGTCGGACCCTAAAGTCCTCTACCATCTTAGCCCACAGTCCTACTCTGAGCCTGCCTGGATACCCCTGAAAGAAAGATGAAAGTCTGACATGTGGTACGCCAATGGAAGGAGTGTATTGATTAGAGGAGAGGATCATGCTGTGGTTTCCTACAAGCTTTCATGCTGGTGGAGCTTTGAAGCTCCTTGTGGCTCCCCCCCATCCTCCTCACCTCCCTGGGCTGTCATGTCAGGACGTGACTTCCTATCCGGGCTTCCTCCAGTCTGCTGTTTGAAACACGACTCGCCATCTGCACCAGGAGAACTTCCTGAGAGTAAACATGAGCTCTCACAAAGTGAGAGTGTGTTGTCTTTATGGTCTTGTCAAAGCCTTGAATTATTTTTGACAATGTAGTGATCTTTTATGACGGCATCTAGGGGTTTGTCACCAATCAGTCGACCCTGACTTCCTTAGTTTTGGGTGATGGCGATACTTGCACGAGAATCCGATCTTATCGATCTTATCTCCGCAAAGGTCTGAAAAGCAGTCACTGTCCCTTTTTTTGCTCTGCTATGAGAGAGGACTATTGTCCAGTTAAAACATGATTGTATTGTTCAATGTTGTTCCATAAAATAAGATTGGAACATTGAAGGTGTATTGTAACCTTATAACACAGGACAGTGTCAGTTATTTAAAAAAATGATATAGGCAAAATTGGAATCAGCAGGTCAGACTTTTTAAAGATGGCTGATCGGCCAGAAAACTGCAATATGTGCACTCTGCATCCCCTTATCTAGATTAATTTAGTTCTGGATTTAATTCAGATTTAATTTCCTTTATAAAACAGACATGTTTTGTGATGTGTCTGCAGAGTATTTTTGGTCCACAAATGATCTGAAACATTGCCACACAAAAAGCTCATCAATATGCAAAATGGTAATTTTTCCCCCCGTGAGTTCTAAATAGAGCACTGTTAATGTCATTGTCTTGTGCGGGAAATTGTGTAAAACGTCAAATGAGTTTTGCAAACAGCTCATAACAGGAGTTTTCCACCCTATTTTTAATTTCTTTTTTACCCTGCATTTATGTTTCAGCTGTTTTCCCTTTGGACTCTCTTTCCGAGAGAAGCTATTAAATTACGTTTCCTCTCTGAAATGCTGTAAGGATGTTGCTGCTTGTCTTCTCGTGGAATTGGCAGTTTTTGAGAAATGATTGCTTTCACATAGACATTTTTGTTCCAACTTTAAATGTGAACTGTTTGTGTAGTTTTGTATTTCAGTAGCTTTCAGCATTGAGATGTAATGAACAGTTGTGTCCTCATCGTGAGCGGAATCAGGGTTTGGTTATTAGATAGTACAAAGTACAAAGTTAGAACTGTAACYTTTTTTCATTGCACCATAGTTTTGTTGGAGCAGCTGAGTCATTTCAATGGGAATCGGTGTTACAGTGTCATGAGGCTCTAAATGTTCCATCATTGCAGATAAGCTATTGTTTTCAGTACAAATATCTTTGTCTTCATAGCCCTACTTGGCTAACTTCCTGTAAACAGTGGCCGGCTCTGCCCGATTGACAGTGGGAGTTGGAGAGTTAGAGTCTGTTCACTTGGAATTTGCTGCAGTCAGGTTTTGTGAGGCTCTCAGTCTTTGCAGCTTTATGGAATGCAAAGCCAGAAATCCCCAAAGCTTTGCTCATTTGCCCGCAGAGATAGCTGTTGAAGGGGTCTTTACAGGCCCCATCCTGTGCACTCCAGAGCAGAACAGCTGGTGAGTTTGGAGTAATGTTACATTTCCGTTTCCTTTTTAATTGTCACATTTATAAAGTATTGCAGTTACTTCACTGGTAAAACCTCATTAAGACTTTATTTTTTCATCCAATCATCATATTATTAAAGTTAGATGACTGAAACACAAATAAGGTATGAAATCAGCCCTAGTCCCACTCAAGACAAAGGTAAAAGTAGAAGGTGGACTTCAGATGAAAAAATGAATTTACATGAGTGGTGGATGAATTAGCTAAAGTAAACTACAGAAGCTTTGATTTGCCCCCTACATTAGATTGATGCAAAACATTGGATCACTTTGTTCCAGATTTCAGTAACCAAGCATCTTACTGTGTGTCTCAAAGACCACCAGGTTTTGGATTGGGTGTCAAATGGTTTTGAGGTTATGTATCATATCTAGGCCTGCCATGATACGCAATAAATTAATTAATTTCACAATAAGTTAAAATGAGGTCGATTTTCATTTGCCTGCTTGTTTGTTTTCTTCACGTCTCCCTCTTTTCTACTCCTTAGCGTAGGGAGGAGTGAACTCTCATGTTTGACAGGCGCATGGTCTCATAATTTAGCATTCGAGTCCCGTGAATGGGCATTTAACTACAGGGGCATCTTCAGTTTTTCGATGCCTTCTTTCAGCAGGCAACGCCTCAGAACTCTGTGCCGAACCTTGGGTTCGCAGAGGGTAAATTATTTATTTATTTTAAACTACGGAAATGTCATAAACTTTGCAAGTAGTGTGTAGGTGACCGCTATTATTTTAGGGAGGTGGGTATTGATTTTACTGCTTCAGCTGATGCTGTGTGTTGTTTTCCCAATCCCCAGTAAAAATCAGGTCATAGCTTTTTTTTACATGTGCAAATGTCCTAAAATTCTGTAAGCTTCATAAGCAAGGAAGGGTAAGATCATATCAATGTAAAATGGTCTTCAAACAATATTATTGTTTATCGCAATCATTTCTGAGACATTTTATCGTCAAGGGTGGAATGCCCCCTCTAGGTCAGGGTAGAGTCTCTGCCTCAAGTAGAGGAGTTCAAGTATCTGGGTGTCTTGTTCACGAGTGATGGAAGGATGGAGCGGAGATGGATCGACAGATTGGGGCCTCGTCCTCAGTAATGAGGGCGTTGCTTCGGTCGGTCGTGGTGAAGAAAGAGCTGAGTCGAAAGGCAAAGCTCTCGATTTACTGGTCTGTTTTTGTTCCAAACCTCACCTGTGCTCATGAGGCGTGGATCATGACCGAAAGAACGAGATTCCGGATACAAGCGGCCGAAATGAGCTTTCTTCGTAGGGTGGCAGGATTCAGCCTCCTTTTAAAGGTGTTCCGAGCACGTCCCATTGGTAGGAGGCTCCGGGGAAGACCCAGGACTAGCTGGAGAGGTTATATATATCCTCTCTGGCCTGGGATCACCTTGGGGGTTCCCCCAGGACTAGCTGGAGGGGTTATATATATCCTCTCTGGCCTGGGATCACCTTGGGGGTTCCCCCAGGACTAGCTGGAGGGGTTATATATATCCTCTCTGGCCTGGGATCACCTTGGGGGTCCCCCAGGACTAGCTGGAAAGTGTCCCTGGGGAGAGGGATGTCTGGGTTTCTCTCCTAGACCTGTTGCCTCCGCGACCCGACTACGGATAAACGGAAGAAGATGAAGAAGGAGATTTATCATCCAGCAAAATTTTGTCATCATGACAGGTCCAATCATATCTTCTAGCTCTGACAGCAGACTTTTGGAAGTGCCACCAGTTAATTAGGGCATGGAGCAAAGATTGCTCATCAACTTGAAAACTGGATCCTGATCAGAGGCCTTTGGCATTTGAAGCCACGTCTTTGATTTTTGCACAATGGTTTCAGTTCACGTCGCAACCTAATGAGCTCCACTGATTCCCTAACCCATCCAAGGCTATAATGGTTTCTAGTCAATCGTTTTAATTAGGAGCAGAGCTGCTACAAGGGTAAATGTTTACACTGACACACTGGCCTAAAATGAATGTAGCTTTTGGGCATGATGTGTTCAAAATGAGCACAGCAGAGTGTCAGCATTGTTTAGTTTAAACAGGTCATAGGGCTTAATGTCAGACTGCTGTACAAACAATGTAATTGTAGAAAAATCAAACACCTAATCTTGGAGGTTTTATACAAAACAGTCTGCTGAAAAACAACTTTATCAACTTGCTAGATGAAATGTGTCTGCCTTCCGGTGTAGGTAATTGAGTTGGGCAGGCTGTTCATTATCAGACCTTTTGTTTATTCAAAAGCAAGAAAGGCCTTTCAGCCCCTCTGCAGGGTGGTTACTTTTTGCTGTTTTACAGCTCCCTTTGGCTTTGTGCCATCAAAACACACTAATGGGAGTTAACTGACTTATTTAATGAGTTTGGAAACAGATCTAATAAAATTGTCAACATTTTCTGGTTCCCCAATTTGCTGAATGGTTTGCTGTAGCTTATTTTGTGTTGTGACATCTGTAGGGTGAGTCATTTCCCCCTGTTTCTGTCCTGGGCCCAAACAACCTCAGAACAAGATGAGAGACTTGCATTCTCCTTTGACAAAATATTCTCATTTTAAGGAAACATTTGAGCATTTTTATTTCTTTATTTTTTGCTGAAGTGCTTGCAATACCTCTGGAGCACTTATGAATAAAAAATTTTTTATTAGGGTAAGGTCTTACTTGATCCCAAGACAAAACAGTTCCTTAAACACTGAATTCAGAACGACAGTGTTACCATTTCTGTCAACAGAATCCGTTTTCAGTGTCTGTCTGAGCTCTTTGAAAGTTAAAAAAAATCCWGGACATTCTTATCAGTTGAGCGTTGTCCTCCCTCCTGTCGACAGCGGAACTGACCCTGTCACAGTCAACTGTCTGCTTAACCTTATTTAGCCTTCTTCACAAAGAAGCGCACACGTGTCAGCCAAAAAAAATGAGTCAAAATATCAACAATGACAAATGAGGCCCAGTTGCAAGTTTTAGTCATGACGCCAGCACTTGAAGGTGCTACATGTGCTACTTACAGAAAACCTTTAGCTTTATGAAGGTTGATTGTAAGCACTGTGTTGAAGAATTGCTTTTGGAGAAATCTGAACCAACGCTTGCAGATGAGCGCTGTCTCCTTCAGCACGTATCTCTGCTCCAATATCCTCCTCCTCCTCCTCATCCCTGCAGCCCAGAGCAGACAGGACAGGACGGTCTCTGCCTCAGCATGTCTGGATGATCAGTCTGCACCGCGACCCTGCAGAAGCTTTTCTGAGTGTGTTCTGCAGACGACACCTCATTCTTTCCATTAAGACGTTGTTGACGCTGTACCACAGCGATGTCTCGTTTCCAAATACATTCATCGCCCCTTTTAAACTTTCAGATTGTCAAGTTTGTTCACAGCTAAGTGACGGCTCAGAGACCTGTTGATTGGTTTAGTTTGATTAGAAATGCTTTGTTTTGAAGAGAAGATGTGGCAAGAGCCAGGATTTGCTTTGCATTTATCACTCAGATGCTTTCTGGGTGATGTGCTTTTTGAGATGCTGACATGTATGTTTTCCTAAATATTTCTATACGCATTGTTTTGTTCGACCAAAACCAACAGACACTTTTTGTCACAGGGACTTTGACACAATTAAAGGAAGCACCTTGAAACCCACTTAAGTAGCTTGAAGACAAAAACCCGGATCTTTCTAAATTTCTATTGTTACGTCTCTTTTTAAAATGTCTATAACATCTTAATAACAAGATATGGTCATTTTTATATCCCAGAACACATATTGCAAGAGAGAAAGGGGGAAAAAAATCAGTCATGACTGAACTTGATCACCTTGGAATGCCAGAGCACCGAAAACTGTCTCAAAATGTTGGAAGCAGACAGCCAAGGTTTCAGGTGTAATGAACCCAGAGAACCTGTTCTGCCGTCTTGTTTGGGACATTTGATCCGAAAGATGTTTTTGTATTTTAGTTTGACTCAACGTTATCTCTTTGATAACTTAGTCAGCCCAAAACCTCACAATTTACATCAGCGTTGATGGAAAACAAACACAAGGTTTCACATGTTCTTGATGTTTTGTTTTTCTTGATAATAGGAACGTTCTGTGTGTTGTGGGTTTCTTGATGATCATAAAGGAGAGTTGATTAAAAAAAAACATATCAGAATGTCATTTGAATTGGGGAATGCAAGTGTGAATCATTTCACAGGGTTCCCACGGGTCCTTGAAATCCTTGAAAGTTTGTGAATTWGAAAAAAAAAATCATTTCAAGGCCCTGGAAAGTTTGTGAAAACAGCCAAAAATTACACTTGTCCTCGAAAGTCCTTGAATGTTTTTTTGGGGATTGAAATTCTCTTTTCCCATGACTGATTTTCATCATCTTTTAAAAAAATAAATCATAAAATAAAAAATAAAAAACTTACATTTGTTGCAGTGGATAACGCAGGATTACGGTAAACTGACGTCATTGATTCTGACTCAGCAACTTCTATGTTGTTCAGTTTTTCATTGAATTTACATGATATTAAACCTGTTTATTGGTAACATTCTGCGGTAGCAGTAGGTAACTGCCGTTGTGCGTGGTTCTTTAATTTGAGGACATTGGTACTACTGGAAAGTCCTTGAAAAGTCCTTGAATTTGATGTTGACCAAGCTGTGGGAACCCTGATTACATTTCTGTCCAATTTAGGACACAAAAAAATGTAGAGAAGTAAAAACATCACCTGAACATCTTAACGGTTTTACATCATAATTGTTTATTTATCTTGTATATTGTTTATTTTGTTTGGTCAGTGACTGATAAAAATGCTGGAAGGCAGCCTGAATTCTTATTGGGAATTTGAGCTTCCTAAAAAAAATGTTCACTTTGTCATCTTGGCAACCTGAATGGTTTTATATTGCTTCACTTGTCACGGATTTGTGGCTTAAATAAAGGGTTGTATTATACATAATTGTATGTATTAGGGTTTTAAAACACTAATTCCATGTATAAATTGTAGATATCAGTTAAATAATTTATCTTGGAACAGGATCTACAGGATATGGCTTATAGAGAAAAGGTAATGTTGTCATTTTTAACCTGTAAAACTGCAGGAAATGAACTCAACATGAAAGCAGGTCAAGATCAGGTTACTTTAAATCCTCAGTTCCACAAACATCACTGTTTAGACAGGATGTTCAGATTTTATGTAACTTGTTATTCTATGCTGGTAATGTTACATGTGGTCATGAGTGATTTCACCAGGGTTTGCGGCCTCTTGCATTACTCGGATGTTGAGTCATTTTTTTTTGTCAAACCGAGAGTTATTAGTGTTAAAGTTGAGCTTTATTATTTTCACATCACTTTTCTGTTTGAAAGAAACAGGAGACAGATCCTGATTGCTGCAAATAGTCCCCAGTGTGTTATCTTTTGGCAAACATTATTCGAATCTACCCAGAAGATTAGCGCTCAACAAAAGCATTCCTGTGAAACGATTGTCCAGTAAAACTTAAGGGTTTTTCTGTGACAGCTCGTGTGCATCAGCTCCTTTCTACAGAGTGGCACAAAGGTTTGAAAATACCCTTAATGATCAGCTTTTCTGCCTTTGTTTTCCAGAGACTTAAGATTCAACAAAATCAAGGATTTACAGCCGGGCTCCTTCAGGAGATTAAAAAACCTCAACACACTGTAAGTCATCCTTTAATCTCACTTTTTTTCCCCCTTCTACGCTCATTTTGACATCTGCAACTTTAACAGTGAACTTTAGCATCAAGAAAAAATGTGTTCAAGCAGCAGCTTGTATCATGTGGCTCCTTTTTTTTTACGCTGTCCAGGTTTGTTGTTTTTGTCAGTCAGAGACACTCCACCTTCTCCAAATATTTGTAAATGTTAATAAAATGTTCCTCATCTGCAGATAAACTGAGAAAACGAAACAGAAAAACTCGTTTAGCCATCACCTAGTCTGTAAATAAATGTTTTTGTTTTTGGAGAAATGTGTATTACTTCAAAGGGCCTAAAAATGTCCTATAGTCATAGGAATTWGCGGCAGGAATGCTGTTTTAGATTTAGAAAGAATCTGCAGAAAAGCCTTATCCACTTTTCGTATTTTCCGGCTGATCTGGAAACCTGAACATCTCTTTTTATTCTCCACAGACTCCGTTTTTGAACCATAGTGACAACTATTGCATAGATAGAAGTGAACAAACTGTTCATCAGTAWCCCCTGTGTTGTTTTCTCCAGACTCCTTAACAACAATCATATACGAAGGATTCCCAGGGGAGCGTTTGAAGACCTAGAAAACCTCAAATATCTGTAAGTTTCTCTCATGTGATTTTTGTTTCTTGTTAAGTTTAGTAACAGATTACCTGTGAATTTGTGCTTTTTACAGTCAGTTTTGTGTAAATTTGGCAAATTTTGACGCCACAACAGAGAATAAAAATTGGTACAGAGAAGAAACGTACGGCCTTTCCTGGACTGACACGTGAAACATGGACTCACGTGGTCCTCACATTCCACCAGTCTTGTTTGTAATTAAATCCTGTAGCTGTTAGTCACTATTTTAATGACAGAACCCCTCTCACTAAAAGCCCAACTGATCTGAAGCCTGTACCTCTACCACAAACTCTGTGATTATGTAAAGGTGTTCGGTTACCCTTCCCCGTTTTCTGCTTAGTCATTCTACAGCTGGAGGTTAGATTCGATCTCCCATCGGACCTCTTCACTTCCTTTGGACTCCAGTAATGTCTCCTGCCTATCATCYGTGGTATCCCAAAAGCTTAATGATCAGATGAATGTTCATAAATCCAAACAGAGGCCAAGGCACTAAATTATGGGTATTAATCTCTTTTTATTTGTTAAATTTTGTGAGCTTTTTTTTCTCACATATAAAACGGCATCAGTGCGTTTCCTTCAGTAGATTCTTGGAGAAGTGGAAAATGTTGGGAGGTGTCAGATCTGGCAACAAGAGCCGGTAGTGACTGAGTTAGGGCTCGTTCTCGATGCACCGAGTGCAGGTTGAGATGCTGAATTCAAGCAAAATCGCACAAACTCCCACATGGAAATGGATACAAGCTTGACACTAAAATGAATGTTAACGTAACATTCAGTTTCTTAGAGTGTGTGTAAAAGTATTTACTTTTACTTTCCTGATTATTATGAGCAGTTTTAGGTCTTTTACTTAAGTACTTTTTTATCATTGATATATATATATATATTGCCAAAGTCATTTTCTGTGAAGGTATTTTTACTTTTACTTAATCATTTTGTTCAAGTACTGTGTACACCTCTGTTTAAAGTGGACTTTCTCAGAATAATAAACAGTTGTGTTGAGAAGTTTTTTATCATCTTTGGTGCTTGTATTTAATTATGAGACTGAATCAAACAGACAGAGATGAAAATGTATATATGCATAAACAAAGAACGTATAGATTTCGAAGATTTATTAGAGACACCAGGTGACTTTATACTTCTAAATGATCACATCGACATGATTCTGTAACACCAATTTATCACTTAGTATACAAATTGGAAATAGTTTTAACTAYATCAAAATATTCCAGCAGTGTCTTTTACAAAATATAAAGTCTTTACATTTAAAGAGTTTCTGCATTTGAAACCATATTTTTTTCCTATTTTCAATAGGAACCCCTTTTCCTCCCAACCGTTTTCCCTCAGTGTGACATCTGCTAGTGTTGGCCCAGGCAGGACACGAAATTTAGAAGGAAACCGAATTACAAAAGGTGTTTAATTTGTCCTTGCACCGAGGCTTTCGTGCTGCCTGGAGATCCGATGAGTCTCTCATCATGTCTTATGTGTATAGTAGTGATAAAGTGAAACAAGTGATGGGGGGGATGAAAGGGCAGACAGCTGGAAGCTATTGCTATTTTAGTATCACGTTTCTCTGACACAAATTATGGAGGGAAAACAGACACATGAGGAGGCTGTTTGTCTTTCGCTCTGCCTCCAGATCCTGAACGTGCAGCATATTGCTTCAGCCCGTTGGGCCTTACATGTGAAAGTCACAGAAAAAAACTGAGACACGTAAAAGAAATAAAAAAATAGATTTGAGGAACAAGAATTTTTTTGCTAAATTATTATTTTTTTTATTATTTTTTAAACTTTTTTTTGTCACTTCAGTAGAAAACTGAACCAAATATTATTAGTTTATTTAGTTTATTTCTTCATCATCAATTATTAATTTCTTAAATGCAGACGTCGTTTTCGTTCTCTTTAATCATTTCTTTGCAAATGATTCGTTAGCTGCTTTTAAGGTACAGTACTATACAGCATTAAACTGCTTTTTCTTTTAGCATAACCAGGCAGAGTTGAGACAATCATGTGTGAGTGTTACTAATGATACCGATTATCTCTTTTCAGCTATTTGTACAAGAATGAAATCCAATCAATTGACAGACAAGCATTTAAGGGGCTTGTTTCTCTTGAGCAACTGTAAGTGACCGAATTCCCTTTTCACCTTTTCCCCTCTGCCCACAATGCTCCCCCTTGCTCTCCCCGTTTGTAAATGCCTGCATCACACCTTCTCCTGAAAGAAGCCCCCAAACAATAGCCACGATGACACGCTTAAGTTATGTAATCTACTTTTTCAAAGCATGTTCTTTACAGTATAAGCTTTAGACAGACCGTTGTGCTTCCATTGCTGCGTGCACTGTTCTTTTTTTTCTGTTGCCGCTATGCATGGTGTGTGTGCACCCGCCCCTGTGTGCTGTGCTGGCCCTCTTTGACCCCTCGGCATGAGTTGTGTGTTCAGGATGGCAGCCATGTGCTGCCCCTTTGTGAAGCTCTAAAAGCTTGATTTATTGCAGCGTTGTACTCAAGTCAGGGCCGCCGTGGAGCAAAGTTTGACCCCCATATGTCTTGTTGCTGTGGAGATCACACTTCTCCTATAATTTGCTGAACTTTTTTCCAATTTTGCTTTGTGTGTCTCTTGTCTGTGTGATTTAACATTAGACAGCCTCAAATCAKATATTAAAAACATATTTTGTAAGTTTGTAAGCTGTAACCAAGTTCTTACATTTACTTCCATTTTATCTTRTTGCAAACAATATGAACCCAGTAAGTTTCATATTTGTTTCTTGTAAGCTTTGTTTCAAAGGTTAATGTAATTGTATTTGCACATTTTTGAATTCGAACACATTAGAGCATGTGTCAAACTCAAGGCCCGCTGGCCAAATCTGGCCCTTGTAAACATTTCATCTGGCCCCAAAAGGTAATACTTT